CTAACCAGGAGGACTAATGGTCAGTGTGACCTTGTCAGATATCATACCTTATCTAACCAGGAGGACTAATGATCAATGTGATCTTGTCAGATATCATACCTTATCTAACCAGGAGGACTAATGGTCAGGGTAATCCCTGTAAAAGATCAGATCAATTTAAATCCAGATCACTCAGTAAGAAGGTACTACAGTAGTTTAATTGACACTACAGCTTAATTCCTGTAGTGCTCTCTTATGGATGGCTTGGTGAGCTCACTGTTACATTAAAAAGTTAGTTTTTGTAAATAAAAATGAAATTTTATGTATCAAGATTGAAAAAGACACCAAAAAGCACTGATCTATGACCATTGTGTACTGGAAAATTCTATTAGTGTATATACAAGTCATTTTCAGCTTTTGAATAGAAACCCTGTACTCAGTCCCACTGATTTAGAACAGAGGGAGCCATATATATCACAACTGGTGTATGACAATGATATATAAGAATTCCACATCCAATTAATTTTAGAAGCTAGGTATCTAGGAAAATTGTGATGCTCTACAGGTAAATTACATTACAGTTTTTAATAACTAGGTTTTCTAGTTGAAGACTTCTGAAATCGATTTCCTATGCAATTGTAGACAAAATTTCTATGTCCTCTTTGAACTGCAAAACACCAAGACACCAAGACCTTACAGTGAGGTACACAAACACCCAGTCCTTACTATGTAGTACACAGACACCTAGTCCTTACAATGTGGTACACAGACACCAAGACCTTACAATGTGGTACACAGACACCCAGTCCTTACTATGTGCTACACAGACACCTAGTCCTTACAATGTGGTACACAGACACCAAGACCTTACAATGTGGTACACAGACACCAAGACCTTACAATGTGCTACACAGACACCCAGTCCTTACAATGTGCTACACAGACACCCAGTCCTTACAATGTGGTACACAGACACCAAGACCTTACAATGTGCTACACAGACACCAAGACCTTACAATGTGGTACACAGACACCAAGACCTTACAATGTGGTACACAGACACCCAGTCCTTACAATGTGCTACACAGACACCCAGTCCTTACAATGTGCTACACAGACACCCAGTCCTTACAATGTGCTACACAGACACCAAGACCTTACAATGTGCTACACAGACACCTAGTCCTTACAATGTGCTACACAGACACCAAGACCTTACAGTGTGCTACACAGACACCCAGTCCTTACAATGTGCTACACAGACACCCAGTCCTTACAATGTGCTACACAGACACCCAGTCCTTACAATGTGCTACACAGACACCCAGTCCTTACAATGTGCTACACAGACACCAAGACCTTACAATGTGCTACACAGACACCCAGTCCTTACAATGTGCTACACAGACACCCAGTCCTTACAATGTGCTACACAGACACCCAGTCCTTACAATGTGCTACACAGTCACCTAGTCCCAAGACTATATAAAAGATATGCAGAAACTGGTATTCTTGTGAAATTTTCATGACATACTTATCATATTTTTTCCTCAATGATATCATTGTTAAACTGTTGGTATTATGACTGTCATAATATCTGAGTGAACACAATAATGATATCATCTGTGCCAGGTCAGTGAACCATTGAGTATATGATAGGGTTTTTAACCATCCCAGGGTCCTGTGTAGTTGTTGAAGTAAAAATGGTAGTTAATACTATCTGGTAGGAGGTATGAAATACTGCTAAAGACAAGACATGACTCTGTTAACTGAACGTAAGTACTCTGGCACAGACAGTTGGTGAGTTGGTTTTTCAGATGGTTACCTTGGGGATACCATGTTGGATGGTCAATCACCTTGAGGATACAATGTCAGTCAGTAGGGTGTTATAGGGATATGATGTTAGTCAGATGGTTACCTTGGGGATACAATGTCAGTCAGTCAGGTGTTATAGGGATAAAATGTTAGTCAGATGGTTGCCTTGGGGATACAATGTCACTCAGGTGTTATAGGGATATAATGTTAGTCAGATGGTTACCTTGGGGGATACAATGTCTATCAGTCAGGTGTTATAGGGATATAATGTTAGTCAGATGGTTACCTTGGGGGATACAATGTCTGTCAGTCAAGTGTTATAGGGATAGGATGTTAGTCAGATGGTTACCTTGGGGGATACAATGTCACTCAGGTGTTATAGGGATATGATGTTAGTCAGATGGTTAACTTGGGGGATACAATGTCTATCAGTCAGGTGTTATAGGGATATAATGTTAGTCAGATGGTTACCTTGGGGGATACAATGTCTATCAGTCAGGTGTTATAGGGATATAATGTTAGTCAGATGGTTACCTTGGGGGATACAATGTCTGTCAGTCAAGTGTTATAGGGATAGGATGTTAGTCAGATGGTTACCTTGGGGGATACAATGTCACTCAGGTGTTATAGGGATATGATGTTAGTCAGATGGTTAACTTGGGGGATACAATGTCTGTCAGTCAGGTGTTATAGGGATATAATGTTAGTCAGATGGTTACCTTGGGGGATACAATGTCACTCAGGTGTTATAGGGATATGATGTTAGTCAGATGGTTACCTTGGGGGATACAATGTCTGTCAGTCAGGTGTTATAGGGATATAATGTTAGTCAGATGGTTACCTTGGGGGATACAATGTCACTCAGGTGTTATAGGGATATGATGTTAGTCAGATGGTTAACTTGGGGGATACAATGTCTGTCAGTCAGGTGTTATAGGGATATAATGTTAGTCAGATGGTTACCTTGGGGGATACAATGTCACTCAGGTGTTATAGTGATATGATGTTAGTCAGATGGTTACCTTGGGGGATACAATGTCTGTCAGTCAGGTGTTATAGGGATATAATGTTAGTCAGATGGTTACCTTGGGGGATATAATGTCACTCAGGTGTTATAGGGATATTATGTTAGTCAGATGGTTACCTTGGGGGATACAATGTCACTCAGGTGTTATAGGGATATGATGTTAGTCAGATGGTTACCTTGGGGGATATAATGTCACTCAGGTGTTATAGGGATATAATGTTAGTAGTAATGTCTGTAGGGTGTTACACCCAGTAAGGTGTTAAAGAGTTAAAATTTCAGAATATAATCTTTGAGACATGGTGTCAGATACCTTGGGATTGTGTAAGACATGCAACTTGTTGGTAATTACCCAATAACCAGTACATTTAGTTATAAAGTTTCACAGAGCCATACAAGTTGTGAAAATAATATATTTTCTAATATTCAATATGCTTTTAACCTTACATTTTGAAATCCAGGTCTACAAGCTTTTTTTCTTTCAGAATATTTTATTGTCATGGTGGTATTGACAGTAGGAATTGGGCAACAGGCAGAGCCTATGAAAGCCCTCTCCTTACAGTGCATAAACAAGTATACAGACACATCAATCAAAATTAGAGATAACAGATAATAATAATAATATTAGGAATAAGAATGTAGAAGATAGATTCAAATGGATGATTATATAACCGAAATGCAAAATAGGCATCACCATCGTTTGTATTATTGAGTACCAGAACAGTAACATAAACTAAAAAATACAAATTAGGTATCACAAGATATTACAAGACTGGGTCAAAATATGTCCATTTGTGGTGGGACAGGCTGCAGGTTCAAACAGTCCATTTGCACATAATCCTGAGCTGAGTCCCTAAAATGGACAGGCGGACCCACACTTGAGACATCAAATACAAATGAGAGATAGAAAAGATAGAAGTATAGAATGGGATGTACATTTGCTAAAATAGGCGACCAGTGTCAGTTATGAATCTCTGAACTATATCAAGAATAAATTTATTCATGTTTGCATCAAGTATAGGAGAACCTTTGAGAAATGTATCAATTGTAGGAGGTATAGAATCACTAAGGTCAGAAAGGGAATTAAAGAGGAGTTGTCTCTGGTTAGTAAAGAAGGGACAGTGGAAAAAGAAGTGGGTACAATCTTCAACTGGGTGGCCACAGTTACAGGCAGGGTTATCTTTAAGGTGGGAATTGAATAAATCAAAATTCAGATTACTTGCAGAGTTTCTTAGTTGACATAAAATTATGTTAGCTTTTCTTTGTCCTTTATATTTGAAAGTATCATTACAGTGGAAAGGAGGAATGGTAGTTTGCTGTGATAAAAAAGATTTTTTTATCGCATAAATAGAAGTTAATGAGGGATACAGACAAGATGGGCCATTCCATTCATTCATGAGTTTTGGAAAGAAGCTAGTGCTATATTGACAAGTTCTTGTATGGGGCACATCAAACAATCTATTGTGTCGAAGTGGATAAGGAGCATTATTATTGTTTATAAAAGGTTGGATAGAGTCAAATACATGAGGAGGGCATCTGTTATTTAAAATCTTAAAAATAGGACGAATAAATGTAATATATATTAATTCAAGTGACTTTCTGTCAATTTTGTACTTTAACATTCTAAGTACATTTATTCGTTTATAAGCTTTCTCATAGATAGAGTTTATGTGATTTGACCAATTAGCATGACTATTAAAAGTTAGACCAAGGTGCTTATGGAAGGTAACATTTTTAATAACTGAATCATTAAAGTACAGATTTGGATGCAACATCTCCGAATCAACTCTCCTTGAAAAAAGAAGGGATTCTGTCTTGTCAGGATTAAAAATAATACCCCATCTATTGGCCCACCTAGAAATTTTTTGAAGATCATTATTGAGTATATTAGCTGCATCTTGCCTATCGCCCTCAATTAAGCCATATAAAGATGTGTCATCAGCAAATAATTTCACATTAGATAGTAAATCATCACCAATATCATTAATATATAACAAAAACAGATACAAGCTAATTAGAATGATTGTGATTTTGCTATTAAGTCAGGCATTATGACTCACAGGTGTTCACAAACATTTCCAGATTGGCAGAGCTTTCATGCTCTTGACAATATGATAGCTATTGAATAGCTTATTGGACTTTAAGGCTTTCAAGATTGTAGAAGTTGATTTTATTCCTACAGTGGATGCAAAATATGACTTGTACATCAGTCCTGAGGAGAAGAGGGGTGTGGCACTGGAGAAGGACGATGATGATGAAGTTGTTCCCAGCAGGATTAACATGAGGGATTGGAACCCTGTAAGTGTTTTTAGCCCAATGTCCTACGACTATGATTCGTGGCCTGTCCATTGTTTATCCACTACACATCCAGCTGTAAACAATCCTGTCTTGAGCAGTACTAGATTGATTTCATCACATGAAAGTTCCTCTTGGTTCATGTTTGTGCTCTTGTAATAGTGGGGCTGATCAGAAACAAAGTGGCTGACAGGTAGCCATCTTGAATTTTAATGATGAAAGTTTGTTATTGCTATTTCCTGATAAAGACTGGATATATGTATCTTTTATTTATATATAGTTTCCACTGGATACCTAGTTGTGTCCTTTTTATCTTGGAACTGATCAGAAGAACAAAATTGCCGAAAGGACGACCAAATTATTATTGCTGTTTCTTCAGAATTTTCAAATTTTGCAAAAGTAAGAGTAAGAATAGAGAAAAGACGGAGAAAATCCTTTTGTAGAACGGATAATGATGGGCACCAACACCCATCTCGGATCTCTTAATAAATAACACAAACTGATATCATGTCAAGTGGAAATGTAATGCTTCCTTTTCTGTATTAAATGTCAAATAAGTTATCTCCCTTGGTAACATTGGTGATTTGTGTTACCGTAGTAGTTCCTTACTACAGTATTTCATGTGAATTTTTGAAATATTATCACTTTTTTCAGACCAAACTCCTGGTTGATTTGTATACAGTCAAACTGGCTAAGGAGGTATGTATATTAACACAATTAAAGTACAACAGCATTACATGATGTTTAGATCACTGTGATAGATTTAACTCTCTAACTTCAATAAGTCTTTGTTGAAAGCTAGAACACCAAATGTAAAAATTATTTACCTCTCCAAATTGGTTGGACAAATTTCTTACAGTCTGGCTTAACTTGGTCAGTTTAAAAGTGGTAGATCCCTTGATAAGTTTTGTACCCAGACCATTAATTAAACAAGTTTTATGTCTACTGTTACTGTCTCTTGGCCTGAGACAATTTGTACCCAGACCATTTACTAAACAAGTTTTATGTCAACTGTTACTGTCTCTTGGCCTAAGACAATGTGTACCCACTCTAGATTGTTTTCCATCACATGGGCCTGGGTTGGAATGACTCAGAAAGCTGACACTGGAACTCTAATCCTAGATAATTTTGTATAAAACATAAACTAATTGTTGATTGTTCACTGACAATACAACAGGAGGTGGAGGATCTGTCTGACAAGTTTGTGGGTATGGAGGGACTAATGGAAAAGTTACCCATGAATAAAAAGAAGGCTACACTGCTGAAGACATGGAAACGCAGGTTCTTCAGGGCCAAAGATGGCTGGCTTCATTATTTTGAGGTAACATTGCACAGTTATAGACCCTGTATGGGGTTGACAATCAGAACTAATAGCTCCAGATAGATGATAACCTGAGAACGTCAGAATTATTACCTTTCTGTTGTTAGCAATATATCAGATATACCTAAATTTTTGAATGAGAGTGAGATTTCTGAAAATCTTCGTTGTTTTTAACTGTTTTATTTGTTACTCCAATGATGTTTACCTCATCTCTATGATTTCTTACAGACCAATAACCACGAGCGGCCGAGTGACAGTGTACAGCTGATGGGAGGCCACGTAGAAGACCTTGGAAACAGGATACTTGGAATTGATGATGGGGTAGGAAGAGTAACAGAATTTTATATCTGTTTACGCCTGCCGTCTAAATACACTTCTGACAAGCACTGACCCCTGCCATCTAAATACACTTCTGTCTTCCATACTCACCAGATTAAAGCATTGACCCCTGCTGTCTTCCATACATACCTGATTAAAGCATTGACACCTGCTGTCTTCCATACTCACCAGATTAAAGCATTGACCCCTGCTGTCTTCCATACATACCTGATTAAAGCATTGACCCCTGCTGTCTTCCATACTCACCTGATTAAAGCATTGACCCCTGCTGTCTTCCATACATACCTGATTAAAGCATTGACACCTGCTGTCTTCCATACTCACCTGATTAGCAGTCTCGGCAATAATCACCTGACCAACAGTAACCTATGACCATAGCCACACTGATCTGACCAGCAGTGACCCCTGACCTCTCTTATATTGACCTTGATCACTATTAAATGTTCAGATGCAATGAAAACAATGGCATGTGTTGACTTTTGATGTTGTCTTTGAAAGGGTCTATAAACCAGGAGAGACTGGATTATCTGTTCAGTATACAGTCAAACATCGTCATCTTGAATTCACATGATTCCAAGACCCCTTTTAATTCAAAGCATTTCCCTGCCCAACATTACACAAAACATTTGAACTCCCACAAAGTTTGAGATAACAAGGTCTTACTGTGTATCATTAGATGTTAATTACAAATGATGTGTATATATAAGGATGATCTATATCTGTACTGTATTGTCTGTTCTATAGAGAGGAAGATTCTTAATGGTTCGCTGTCCTACTGACAAGGAATATGGCCAATGGAAACTGGCACTGGAGTCTCAGACAGTCGACAATGTCCGAGCCACTTATGTACGGCCAGTCCTGAAATCACCGCCAAACCCAAGACGAGTGAGTTAACTGACAATCTCACTAAGTGTCGGGAAATCTTTAGCTAATCTATTAAACCACGTGAGGATGTGGAATTTCAATTCTGAAATTAATGATTGATTATACTTTGTCTTAGGTTGATATTGACGAAGCAACTTCAAGGCCTGAATTTCACATCTAGTGTTTTCTTCTAAAATTGTTTGTTGAAACTCTAGTAAATTTTACAGAAATAGTTTGACTTTGGTTTAATATTGGTTTTAACATTGATAGATATTATCTTGTCCAATTCTTAAACATTTCCTGCCTTCACTAAAATGAAAAACAGATCCTCCTGTTGGCTGCATTCAACTGATTTAGAAGGTAAAAATAACAGATAACAAACTGAGTAAAAGATTTAGATATGATAACTCCTGCAATGATTCTATGTCAGTGGTCTTATTATTCATACTTCCTTCACAAAGTTAATTCACGGATTCTCTAGGTCCAGCAAGTGCCTTCTGTTACCAGTTCTATTATTCATGCTTTATTATTTTTTTCACAGAAGGTGGTGCTGATAGATATTGGCAGTTGTAGTATCCGGGCCGGCATCTTAGGCCAGGAAGGTAAGATGTTTATGTTTGCCTGGTAGTATGTTTGCTAGATTGACGAACTCATGAACAGCCAAGAACACTTTGAAGCTGTCTCTGCTAGTAGAATCTGGTGGCAGCTTCACTGAACAGTATGTGGGAGGCCCACCATACACTATCCTGAACAATAGGAGTAAAATGTCTTGACAATAGATACCACCTGTATGCAGTGCAGGTCATGATTTCAGCCTCTCAAGAAACAAAACACTGGCCTGATAGGGATCATCTAACTTTCCACCTCAGATCTTCACTTCAAACAGCCCAGCCCCCCACCCTTCCCCCACCCCAATATCTCAATAGCATGTATGCAATTTTTCAACAAGACATATTTTATATTAACATTATATACTTGGGGTTTAAAGTATCTTAAAATGTGTATGTATTTCATGTAGTGGAAGGGAGATAATTTGAAATTTTATGTTCCTGAAAACTGTCCTAATGATACATGTAGTAAAAGGGAGATAATTCTTTAATGAGTTCATCACTCAGTCAAAGTATGATATGTGTGTTCTATTTCCTGGGTAACTAAGTTTATGTTAAATTTCCTTTCCCTTACATGTAAGTGACATTGTTGTATTTTTCACAGCCTCTTTGCCCGAGTTGTTTTTCCCTAGTATCGTAGCTAGGAACAAGGACAGCTCAGACATTCGTATTGGTATCCAGGCGTACCACCCCGATGTCAGAAAGACGTCAACTCTGATGAAGGCCGTTAGACCGACCAGTAAGATGGACAAGGTCAGTAACAGTATAAAAAAATCTTAAATAAGCGAGTCATTTCACACAAATATTCAAAGAATTGAAAATTAGTTTATATTTGTGACTTATTGGTTGTAAACATGACAACTCATGACATTTCAGAGTCCCTTTAATTTTATTTATGTTTTACTTCTGAGCTATCTGAGAGTAATTCTCCATCTTTCTCCTGATTTAACATTTGATGAAGGGTTTATCTGTATATATATATATAAATTACTGCAGTTTTGTTTTCATGCTCAGTGAATTGGACATTTTTTCAATGTAGATAAGATATATTTTACATAATTAATCTTCTTTCGAAATTTTCAAAACAGTGAACACTTCACAGGTTCTCAGAGAGCAAGAATCTTCAGGCTGGAAAACTATTCATCAAAGATTTATTTTGAAAATTCTGAATATTTTTTTTTAAGCAAAGTTTTGAGATAATGCTACTATGAGAAAATGTCCTTCATATTTTTCTACCTTGATTTGTTTGTATACTGACTATAATATGTAGTGGCTACTGACTTTATAACAAAATGTTCTCTGCGTTCATGGTGTCATAAATCACGTTTCAGTCTGAAGTCGTCGTAAGTTATCTCACAAGCTTCTGTTCAGTATCCTGTGTAACTCTCCTATAGAATGCGTTGGAGTTGTATTCTTTAATTAATAACTATTTTTCTTTACTATTTTGCTGCAGAGAGTTATGGCTTTATGAACTATTGATATGATATATAATATCACATATAACTTCTGTCAATTAAACATTCAAACTTGTTATTATAAAAAAAATCTTGAAAATTTCAAGGACAATTTATTTATCCTGTAGTCAAATTTTGGGAAATTTTCAAATTTAAAGACTTTGATTCAAAAATATGAAAGATTTTGATATGTCTATAGTGATCATTTATTAGAAATATGTTTGCAAGTTTGAATAACCTTCATTATTTTTTCATAGCTGACCCTCTGACCCCTTGATTGCTGTAGTGAACTCTGTTTTGTATGGTCTTAGAGTCCATTACACTAGTAGAAACGGTTGTCAGGTGGTATGCTATATTCATCACTTTTAAGATGTACTAAATAGGATTCAGTTCACTCTTACAGTTTGTTGGAGTATTAGAATAATAGAGCCAGATTATATAGTTATTATACACGGATGGCTGACTTAGTGTCTTGCCTGCACAACTAACACAGTTTACTAGAGTCACAGTCAGGTAGATGTTTGAATACTACAGGTGTGAGATAAGTGGTGTAGGATAACATAGGTTGTGTGTTTGTTGTATAGTTAACATCATTGGTAAATTTAGGTGTCAACCATCTCGCGTTCAATGGAGTCATGGCCGTATCATGTTAGTTTAATTGATTCATCTCTAACTGGGTATTGACATCTACTTTTATATGAAACATCCTACTTAATTAACTTCAGTACCACTGCAGCTGAAATATTTTTTTTCATTATCTAAGTATTCAATATTGAAAAAAAAATCCTGAATTTTTGTATTGATGACTGATAGTGAAAATTGTGGTCGACATTCACTCAGCATCCCAAGGACATTAATGTTTCACTGCCAACCCATGACTGATATCAATAGAGCTCCCTATTGTTACCTGTTAGGAGGCTCCCTATAGTTAACATCTAAAGGCTCCCTATAGTTAACATCTAAAGGCTCCCTATAGTTAACATCTAAAGGCTCCCTATAGTTAACATATAAAGGCTCCCTATAGTTAACATCTAAAGGCTCCCTATAGTTAACAACTAGAAGGCTCCCTATAGTTAACAACTAGAAGGCTCCCTATAGTTAACATCTAAAGACTCCCTATAGTTAACATCTAAAGGCTCCCTATAGTTAACATCTAAAGGCTCCCTATAGTTAACAACTAGAAGACTCCCTATAGTTAACAACTAGAAGGCTCCCTATAGTTAACATCTAGACTAAAGGCTCCCTATAGTTAACAACTAGAAGGCTCCCTATATTTAACATCTAAAGACTCCCTATAGTTAACATCTAAAGGCTCCCTATAGTTAACATCTAAAGGCTCCCTATAGTTAACAACTAGAAGACTCCCTATAGTTAACAACTAGAAGGCTCCCTATAGTTAACATCTAGAAGGCTCCCTATAGTTAACAACTAGAAGGCTACCTATAGTTAACAACTAGAAGACTACCTATAGTTAACATCTAAAGGCTCCCTATAGTTAACAACTAGAAGGCTTTCTATTGTTAACTGTTAGGAGGCTAGAAGGCTCCTTATTGTTAACTGTAACAGGCTAGAAGGCTCCCTATTGTAAAGATCTAGAAGGCTCCCTATTGTTAACTGTTAGGAGGCTAGAAGGCTCCCTATTGTTAACATCTGAAAGGTTTTCCTATGTTAACATCCAAATGGTTCACCATAATTATTATCTGGAATACTGCCCGTGGTTCACACCTGATTATATCTCCTCTGCTGGCATCTGAAATGTAATTTGATAGATTAGTGTTTGTTGACATTTGATAGACTCAACCTGATCATCATCTGAATTATATCCCTTGGGAGCCACCTGTTGGCACCTATTGGTTGACACATAACTGGCTACCCATTGTTGACACCAGACTTGACACCCTGTGGTTTTACACCTGACTGTCTGCCCTTGGTTGACACCTGATTTGAAACACCTTGGTTTGACACCTGATCATCTTTCCTTGGTTGACACCTGACGGTCTCTTCTTTATTTACTCCTGACTGTATCCCATTTATTGACTCTTGATTGTCTCCCTTGGTTGACACCTGACTGCCCCCACCCCATGGTTGACACCTGACTGTCTGCCCTTGGTTGACACCTGACTGCCCCCACCCCATGGTTGACACCTGACTGTCTGCCCTTGGTTGACACCTGACTGCCCCCATCCGATGGTTGACACCTGACTGCCCCAACCCGATGGTTGACACCTGACTGTCTGCCCTTGGTTGACACCTGACTGCCCCCACCCGATGGTTGACACCTGACTGTCTGCCCTTGGTTGACACCTGATTTGACACCTGACCATCTCCCCTTTATTAAGACCTTTGGTTCTGTTTACGAAGTTTGTTGACATCACTATAGCTAGTTCCACGTTTTTATTGATACTTACATTACCTGATTTTTTTTATTTTAAAAGTCATAACTTCTGTAAATTGTTTGGTGTGTGTTTTTCCAAATTTTGTAACACTGGGTGCTCATATTGCAATGTCTGTCTGGCTGAGAGATTTTAGAGAAAGTAAAAAAGTGAAAAAAAATAATGTTTGATTGTGTCATTGTGTGACATAGCCATAGGTGAAGAGAAGAGCCATTTCAATGCATTTGTAGTTTTACTTTTCAATGATCACATATAATTTTATGGTTATTTGGTCATGTGATTTAGATGTTTGAGGATAATATCATCTTTACTTGTCTTTCCTATATATGTATTATTAATAAAAAAAATTGCATGAAATAATATAATCCTGACACAAGCAAATGGAAACAATGTTTCAGAATCTTGTTGGTCATATTGAAATAAAGGATGTACGTACAACAAATTAAATCCATGATTGTCATTTGTAACTGCCAAATTGATTGAAAATATTCTGGATTTATTAACAAGATTTTGAACACTGTTGACATGCCTGTATACACATGAAGCTGATTTGTTTGTGTCCATTTTTCATTTCACAGGATCATATGAAGGCAGTAAGTGCTCCCCAACACAGTACTACCACCTGGTGGTACCTTTTTTCCTGTGGTTGTTAATTACCTCCCTTGACATCCTCATTTGCATGTTGTTGTTGTTATGGTTGTTGTGTGCCTTGCTTCTACTAACACCATTATTCTAACACTCATCACTGGATTCTGTCTTTCTTTGGTTTAGTTAGTGTTTTGGTTTGATTTAAATTCGTTCAACCACTTTTTTGTTGTCCACCCTACAAAGACTAGAATTGACACCTCCACTCACCAAATACAGGTATATGTAGTAGGTATATGAATTATCCTGTTGGAACATCCAAAATGGTCCCATCCTCCCAATGAAACTCACATATACACACTTGTGTTAGATGAGGTTGAGGGTTACGGCCCAGAATGACCCTGGAGTGTTGATAACAGACCCTTATTTGTTTCATATTATTGAAAATTTTTGTTTTTTTCTTCTCTTTCTTTTTTTTTTTTTCTTTCTTTTTTTTTAACCACCTCCCAGTTGACACAACCCGATTACTTACAGTTAACAGGAAAATTTCAAGGATTAGAATTTGTTTTAGATTTTGATATTTTATTGCTTATAGTTAAAGTTTTTTGAACATTGATTAAAATAATTTCATTTTTATGTACTCTGTATAAAACTACCAGTTTGTATAATGAACTTGAGAGAGTGTTAAAGATTATACAAAGTTAATTATCATTATGGCACATAGTGCTACTGAAGTAGTCCAGGGATTGTGCGGCTTGTTGTCTCCCTTTTTTACCTTTAGACGACGATGTTTCTAGGTGTGTGTAGGTAGCAGGTGAAGGACATTAGTGTCTAGTAGACAGGTAGAAATGGCCAGTCTGATTTGAACTTCCCTTGTTAAATCAACCTTGCTTGCTTCATGTGTCAAGTCTTTATTTTTCAGAGCTGTGTTTCCTTGTTGCACAACTGTTACAAAAATATTCAAAGCACAAAATCCTGAAATCTCATATATATTAAAAAGTTCCTAAAATATTATAACACAGAATCCTAAAGTGCCCTACATTATACTGTTGATATTTTGATTAAATCCCCCCCAAATCATACAGTTTATAAATAATTATACTTACATATAAACTGTTTATCATAGCTTCACTCTGAATTGTCTACTGTATTTATGTACAGATATATCTGTTAATTGATGAATTCTGATCTCATTTTTATGATATACCTGAAAGATAATGGTGATAAAAACCATAGATATGAATAGTTAAAGTTAAAACCTGACTTAGATTTATAATATCTAGAAAGTTAATGTTATGTTCAGGAAGGATATCTACAGAAGAGTCAAAACATTAAATTAACAATGTGTACATAACCTGCCAGCAATACTGCTGGATAACAAGACGTGATCTAATGTTCAAAAAAAAACATTGCTTTTTCATTTCAGCTAAAACACTGCCACATTTTTAATAAACAATAGCCAAGGCAAACTGATGTCATGTGGGGGGGAAATTTAATGCTTCTGTATCTCTTAACCTGTCAAACGAGTTATCTCCCTTTGTAATGTTAAACGGTAACCTCATAACAATGCTATAGAATTAAACCCATGGTTGTGAGGTCTACACAATATTAAACCTAGAAGGACTGGATCATACTTGGTCCATGCATTGTGAGGTCTACACAATATTTGGTCCATGCTTTGTGAGGTCTAGACAGAAGGGCTAGACCATATTTGGTCCTGGCATTGTAGGTACATGTTATTGTGGCGTTGAGTCTTGCATCACATCTATAAATGTACAGGATGATTCTTTTACATTGTACAGTAAAACACGGTTATAACGAACCTCTAGGGACCAAGAAAGTTATATCATTGTACGCATGGAGAATTGGAGGAAAAATAAGCGGTATTTGTCATAGTAAATATCATTACATAGCTTATTGTTTCTGTATGAAATTTGATGAATACTCATCAAAATAAGCAGATGTATCCTCTCCAGTTGTAGAAAACAAATATTAAAGCTCAATCTCTCCGAGTCAATGTGTTAATAAAGGAGGTGACAGGTAGGAAACAACTGATTAGTAAAGACAATGGCCTGTTCAGGATATTAGAATCAACATCACTTCACAGGATAATTAAATGTTCAGAAATTTGTGAAGATGGCACGAGAGTTCAGATACTTGTCAGAGGCACAGATTGTGAATCGCAGACTGCTTAATTATAAATATATTGTTTCTTATATTCAGATTGTGTATAGATATAACAGTACAGATTCTGTTATATTGTGACACTTAAAACTACATCACATTTTGAACCACTTCAGGGTGTCAATGAGCCTGATGAGCCAAACACTGGTCTAACCGGACGGTAGTAATAGAATGGAACACTTCATTTTGTGAAGCAGTAGATGTTATATTAACTCTCTACTTGTTTTGTAATGATAGGGTGTGTGAGGTGAGATAGCACTACATCGATGTTGTAGACACAGATTTATTGTGTTTGTTATAACCGTAGGGTGTGTGAGGTGAGATAGCACTACATCGATGTTGTAGACACAGATTTATTGTGTTTGTTATAACCGTAGGGTGTGTGAGGTGAGATAGCACTACATCGATGTTGTAGACACAGATTTATTGTGTTTGTTATAACCGTAGGGTGTGTGAGGTGAGATAGCACTATATCGATGTTGTAGACACAGATTGTGTTTGTTATAACCGTAGGGTGTGTGAGGTGACATAGCACTACATTGATGTTGTAGACACAGATTGTGTTTGTTATAACCGTAGGGTGTGTGAGGTGAGATAGCACTACATTGATGTTGTAGACACAGATTCATTGTGTTTGTTATAACCGTAGGGTGTGTGAGGTGAGATAGCACTACATCGATGTTGTAGACACAGATTTATTGTGTTTGTTATAACCGTAGGGTGTGTGAGGTGAGATAGCACTACATCGATGTTGTAGACACAGATTTATTGTGTTTGTTATAACCGTAGGGTGTGTGAGGTGAGATAGCACTATATCGATGTTGTAGACACAGATTGTGTTTGTTATAACTGTAGGGTGTGTGAGGTGAGATAGCACTACATCGATGTTGTAGACACAGATTCATTGTGTTTGTTATAACCGTAGGGTGTGTGAGGTGAGATAGCACTACATCGATGTTGTAGACACAGATTTATTGTGTTTGTTATAACCGTAGGGTGTGTGAGGTGAGATAGCACTACATCGATGTTGTAGACACAGATTGTGTTTGTTATAACCGTAGGGTGTGTGAGGTGAGATAGCACTACATCGATGTTGTAGACACAGATTCATTGTGTTTATTATAACCGTAGGGTGTGTGAGGTGAGATAGCACTATATCGATGTTGTAGACACAGATTGTGTTTGTTATAACCGTAGGGTGTGTGAGGCGAAATAACACTACATCGATGTTGTAGACACAGATTTATTGTGTTTGTTATAACCGTGTTTTACTGTACATCAGATTTTGTGTCATTCATTAATTGTGAAACAAAAGGTTTCTATTGTTTTCAACAAATCTGAATTGATATAGTACCAAGGTATTAGTGTCCAAGACATCTGACCCAAAGACTGATTTGTCTGTTATCTGTTGTACGTACACTTCCCATTCAAATGACTTCTTCATTATAGCCAAAAGGCAAAGGGTTTTGATATTGGGCCTGTGGCATGATTTGGATTAAGGGTTACCAAGTTTGATAATATGAATATGAATTTTCAATAACTGAAAGGTCCATGGTGTAGATATTGGGCCTGTAGCATGGTGGGATAAAGGGCTACCAAATGTGTTGAAGCAACTTCTTCTTAATAACCAGAAGGCCAAAGGTCTTGATATTGGACCTGTAGCATGCTTTTCAACAAACAGTATTTCTGAGTTAAGGCATTTGTGTGGTGCATCTACAGAGGTTATGAGTTTGTAGGAAATGTCTTTATGAACCAACCAATATTTACTCTGTAAGCTGTAGTGTAGTTGAGCAATTTATTTTAGGCCTATTTGACTTCTTTGATATATAGGTCTTTATAGTCAGATTACCCTTAAGGCTTATGTGTCTGTTATTAAAGAAAAGAAAGCATGCATTTTAAGACAATATCATTCTCCCTTAATTGGCATAACATATCAAAAGATACATAAATAAGTATTCATATTTTATCTCTCCTTGGTTCAGGTAAAATCACAGGTAAAATCACAGGTAAAAAAAGGATGTTGACAGATCACTAGAATGATGTTTCCAGCTAGATTTTATGAAATTTGAAATGCTCTATGTGTTGTACATGTCTGTATGTCACTGCTATCAAATCATGTAAAATATGTGTAAATGATTCAAGGTTATAATTACATTTTGTATGATTAAAGCACCATCTTAATTTGCCCTAATGTATTGATTTAAGCCTTTTCACAAAGGGGAGATAACTGATATGTATTAATTTTGGTTAATTCTGCTTAACAAAGAGGAGATAACTTACATTATGTGCTCTGTCTGATTTACAGTTCAATGTTGACACAGAAGTGATGCCAGCTGTTTTAGATAAAATCTTTACCGACCTGAATATTGATCCGTCAAAGTACTGGGTAGGTATACTGATAGGAACTTTGTCTAGAGAGATTGTGTGGCTGGTGCCACTCTGATCCATGTTTGATGTAATAGATGTTGTTATTATCAGAAAATCATAGAAAGTTACAAAATAGTAACAAAAGAAATTGTAAACATGCTTTGGAATGTCTAGTATCAAAGCTGAATGAGGAGTTACTCAACTATATCTTTGACCTTTGCCCTCAGATCATGATGAGCACACCCCAAAACCTTGCTGACCAACTGAAGGCTGCACTGTTTGAGATTTTGATTGGTCAGTTTAGAGTTAAGGGGATATGTATGGTTATGCAGTCCCTGCTGGCTCTGTACTCCTACCAGAAAACATCTGGCATCTTAGTGGACATTGGTCAGCGTATGGAAATTCTACCTATATGTGATGGTCAGTGACTTGCCTGGAACTTTGTCCAATTTTACAGTATCTGATATGTGGTGGTCACACACTGTACTTTGTTACCATAGGTCTAGTTTGTTCTGATGACCCTTTTTTTTTAAAAAATCCTGACACACTGTACCCACCTCTTAAGGGTCTGTGAAATCGTAAATCAGCACTTTCAGAAAATGTCTGAATGCAATGTTTGTTACGTATATTCTCATATCACACTGTGTTCTGTCTAATATGTAATGGAATTTTATTGGATATATAAATAGAATTTTAAGAGTTAAATACAAATAAAATACTTTCACTAAGATTCACAATTGAAAATATATGAAATATTTTGTCAATCATTTCAACACTACACACATACAGGGTATGTGATTGAGGGCGGAGTTTCCCGCCAGTCATATGGAGGTCAAAAGGTGGAAGATTGCCTCAACAGTTCACTGACAGAGAACAAGTATGTGTTTGGGACTCCTGTGGAGGAGCTGATCTTACGTCACATCATGGAGCAGGTAAAAAGGATTTTTACACGCTACACAAATCTAGTATTTCTCTAAACCTGTAAAGATTTTGATCATCACCAGTCAATGAATGCTCAAGTTTCCAGAATCAATGTATTACACCTTACAGTAAGATGAAGTAATGCAAATCTCTGAGGTATACATGGACTATACATCACTATGTAGGTTTTATCTCCACCGTAAACACTATAACTAACACTCCTGTTAGATAAGGGTCGTGTTGATGTCAAAGTGATGATTAACATAGCTTTGTATTGTAACAGTCGTGCTTAGTAGCAGAGGATTACAATGAGATGGAGAAAAAGTGTTCAACGGATCCAGAGAGCTGTCAGTCAACAGTGTTCCTCAACAAGTACGACCTTCCAGAAGGGTCACACAGGTACATCACCAGACCTAACTCATATATAGACAACCATAACAAGATTCAGCCTTGGTATTTCTGTTAAACAAGAAGTAAACACAGAAACCAGTAACGTCCAGATGATAAAGACTGTAACGTATACCAAGTGTGGGCATTCTATAATGATCGTAGGTGTGGCGGGGATTTTAAAGAAAATAAATCAAAACATTGAGGCCAGCTTTTGTTAAAATCAAATATTTTCTAAATGAAAATATTGTTTAAGAAAAATGTATGATTGTGTTTTGAAAATGAAGGTAAACAATTGTAAAAATGTGCTGCAGTGCTGTATTTTAAGTGTCAACTTTACTGTTACCATAACTACAGGGAAGTCGTCCATAATCGAAGTTGCTACCATAGTTCAGAGGGTTTCTTCAACACAGACCTGTGGGGCATGGACTATCCTTGTGTCCATAAACTGGTGTTCAAAGCCATACAGTATTGTCCTATAGACAGTCGCAAAGAAATGTACAGGTAAATGTCTCATAGACAGTCACAAACAAATGTACAGGTAAATGTCCTATAGACAGTCACAAACAAATGTACAGGTAAATGTCTCATAGACAGTCACAAACAAATGTACAGGTAAATATCTCATAGACAGTCACAAACAAATGTACAGGTAAATGTCTCATAGACAGTCACAAACAAATGTACAGGTAAATGTCTCATAGACAGTCACACACAAATGTACAGGTAAATGTCTCATAGACAGTCACACACAAATGTACAGGTAAATGTCTCATAGACAGTCACAAACAAATGTACAGGTAAATGTCTCATAGACAGTCACACACAAATGTACAGGTAAATGTACAGGTAAATATCTCATAGACAGTCACAAACAAATGTACAGGTAAATGTCCTATAGACAGTCACACACAAATGTACAGGTAAATGTCTCATAGACAGTCACAAACAAATGTACAGGTAAATGTCTCATAGACAGTCACAAACAAATGTACAGGTAAATGTGCTATAGACAGTCACAAACAAATGTACAGGTAAATGTCTCATAGACAGTCACACACAAATGTACAGGTAAATGTCCTATAGACAGTCACACACAAATGTACAGGTAAATGTCATATAGACAGACACAAACAAATGTACAGGTAAATGTCTCATAGACAGTCACAAACAAATGTACAGGTAAATGTCTCATAGACAGTCACAAACAAACGTACAGGTAAATGTCCTATAGACAGTCACAAACAAATGTACAGGTAAATGTCTCATAGACAGTCACAAACAAATGTACAGGTAAATGTCTCATAGACAGTCACAAACAAATGTACAGGTAAATGTCTCATAGACAGTCACAAACAAATGTACAGGTAAATATCTCATAGACAGTCACAAACAAATGTACAGGTAGATATCTCATAGACAGTCACAAACAAATGTACAGGTAAATGTACAGGTAAATATCTCATAGACAGTCACAAACAAATGTACAGGTAAATGTCTCATAGACAGTCACAAACAAATGTACAGGTAAATATCTCATAGACAGTCACAAACAAATGTACAGGTAAATGTCCTATAGACAGTCACACACAAATGTACAGGTAAATGTCTCATAGACAGTCACACACAAATGTACAGGTAAATGTCCTATAGACAGTCACACACAAATGTACAGGTAAATGTCTCATAGACAGTCACAAACAAATGTACAGGTAAATGTCTCATAGACAGTCACAAACAAATGTACAGGTAAATGTCTCATAGACAGTCACAAACAAATGTACAGGTAAATGTCCTATAGACAGTCACACACAAATGTACAGGTAAATGTCCTATAGACAGTCACAAACAAATGTACAGGTAAATGTCCTATAGACAGTCACAAACAAATGTACAGGTAAATGTCTCATAGACAGTCACAAACAAATGTACAGGTAAATGTCCTATAGACAGTCACACACAAATGTACAGGTAAATGTCTCGTAGACAGTCACAAACAAATGTACAGGTAAATGTCTCATAGACAGTCACAAACAAATGTACAGGTAAATGTCCTATAGACAGTCACAAACAAATGTACAGGTAAATGTCTCATAGACAGTCACAAAAAAATGTACAGGTAAATGTCTCATAGACAGTCACAAACAAATGTACAGGTAAATGTCTCATAGACAGTCACAAACAAATGTACAGGTAAATGTCTCATAGACAGTCACAAACAAATGTACAGGTAAATATCTCATAGACAGTCACAAACAAATGTACAGGTAAATGTCTCATAGACAGTCACAAACAAATGTACAGGTAAATGTCTCATAGACAGTCACAAACAAATGTACAGGTAAATGTCTCATAGACAGTCACAAACAAATGTACAGGTAAATGTCCTATAGACAGTCACAAACAAATGTACAGGTAAATGTCTCATAGACAGTCACAAACAAATGTACAGGTAAATGTCCTATAGACAGTCACAAACAAATGTACAGGTAAATGTACAGGTAAATATCTCATAGACAGTCACACACATATGTACAGGTAAATGTCTCATAGACAGTCACAAACAAATGTACAGGTAAATGTCTCGTAGACAGTCACAAACAAATGTACAGGTAAATGTCTCATAGACAGTCACAAACAAATGTACAGGTAAATGTCTCATAGACAGTCACAAACAAATGTACAGGTAAATGTCTCATAGACAGTCACAAACAAATGTACAGGTAAATGTCTCATAGACAGTCACACACACACACAAATGTACAGGTGTCTCATCACACACAAATGTACAGGTAAATGTCTCATCACACACAAATGTACAGGTAAATGTCTCATAGACAGTCACACACAAATGTACAGGTAAATGTCTCATAGACAGTCACAAACAAACGTACAGGTAAATGTCCTATAGACAGTCACAAACAAATGTACAGGTAAATGTCTCATAGACAGTCACAAACAAATGTACAGGTAAATGTCTCATAGACAGTCACAAACAAATGTACAGGTAAATGTCTCATAGACAGTCACAAACAAATGTACAGGTAAATGTCTCATAGACAGTCACACACAAATGTACAGGTAAATGTCTCATAGACAGTCACAAACAAATGTGTAAATCACAAACAAATACAGGTCATAGACAGTCACACAAATGTACATAACAGTCTCACAGGTAAATGTCTCATACAGTAGACACACACAATGTACAGGTAAATATCTCATAGACAGTCACAAACAATTGTACAGGTAAATGTCCTATAGACAGTCACAAACAAATGTACAGGTAAATGTCTCATAGACAGTCACAAACAAATGTACAGGTAAATGTCTCATAGACAGTCACAAACAAATGTACAGGTAAATGTCTCATAGACAGTCACACACAAATGTACAGGTAAATGTCTCATAGACAGTCACACACAAATGTACAGGTAAATGTCTCATAGACAGTCACACACAAATGTACAGGTAAATGTCTCATAGACAGTCACACACAAATGTACAAGTTAAAATTTTCAAGCAGTTAAAAATAATGATAATCCAGATATCAGAATTAGTAAAATTATTGCTTACCTATGTTTTGATATTTTAGTTTGTAAAATCCATGTGTAATAATGATGAGTGAATGTTTTAGTCACTGTTACATGGTATATTTTAACGACAGAGCTATTTACCTGAGTGGAGGTGTCACCATGCTGCCAGGGTTTGCAGAAAGACTTCAGAAAGAACTTATCAAACTTGCTCCACCCTCAGTTATTGTTGAGGTAACCTATATGAGATATTTTAGTTGTTTTCAGTTTCATTTGTGTTTACAAAAAAAATCAATTTATCTGTAAAATATCCAATATTTTCTTTCAGCATACTTTTGAACTTTCTTACATTTATCCCAATGAAAACATGTATCCCCTTGCCAATATGAAATTCTGCCTAAACGTGGATTTCTGGGAAGTTGAAATTTTGTACAACACAATATTGAATAGCCCAAATTGATAGTAAATAATCCAAAATAGCCTGATTAAGTAAAATGACAGTGAAGTAAAGTAATTTGTCACTTGTATTTTATCATTGACATCTTGTCATTAGTAAGGTGTAAAAAGTCTCAAGGTCAGCTAATGTTACTAACTTGATGTTCTGTTTAGGTGCACGCCGCACCCCAGCGTTACCATGCTGCCTATATCGGAGCTTGTAGCCTCGCCAACATGGACATGTTTGAACAGTCATGTATCACTGGTGATGAGTGGGCTAAAAATGGTGTCAAGGCTTTCGCCAAGTGGGCCATGCAATCTTCCTAGGTGTTGTGATCACACCTGTCTCACCTGTAACTTTGTACTGCCATGGAAACACATGATATATTACCCTACTGTTGTGTTACTGCTATATATATCATACCTGACTCAATACTTGGGTCAGAAAACATTTATTGTTTAGTATTTGTACTGGAATCGGTTCACCTGCTGCCCTGGCTTACCATTACTCTGTTCTATAATCTTTTAACACAATATGAGCAGTTACAACCCCATTCCTTGTATTTACTGTAGTATATTTACATACTGTCATTACTAAACAGATTATACTGTTGTTGTCAGTCAGCACAGCTGTAACCTGCTGTTTACCTAACATTACAGGACATATAAACTGCCTTACCAGTCACACTACATCTACGATTTTAATATCTGTATAAACATCTCTTGTACTAAATAGTGCAGTGTATACTGTATCTGATACTATACATTAGTTGGTATTATACTGTAATTGGAGTTGTACTGTGTTTGATAATATACTGTGTATTGTGTAATTGGTGATATATTGTGTAGGGTGTAATACTGTAGTTGACATACTGTAGTAACATTTTTTGCAGCTGCAGTTCTACTCAAATTTGTACAACTATACTGTTTATATACTGAAATAAGTTGTGTTCAATTGTAATACTTTATAAAGCATGACTGGTTTACCTCGTAATTTCACTTCTGTGGAAGTGTTATTTGTTGATATTTTTAATGTATACTGATATAGCTATGTTTTAATTCTTTATGTAATCAACATTCCACTATAATATCTATATTTTTACATGTCAACATGATTTACTCCACTCTACATTCCAAGTTACAGACTTTTCATAGTCTAATGTTTCACTGGAGCAAAGTCTATTTTGTTTTTACACAAAAGCTTTATTAAAGCAGTAATTCTACAATTATCTACCCTAGCTTTATATCACTGTTTATGTCATTAAGGAACTAATTGTGTAACTGAATTATCATGTATTTATATGTAAATGTGTTAATATACCATGTATCAATGTGTATTTATAAGTTGTAGTGTCAGTGTAACAATATGTTAATATGTTTCTTTAGAGGTACTGCTACCTCAAACATGTATGATGCACTTTGTTGATGTCACTGAATACTTTTATCGACAAATAAATCATACTTACATTTTTACCTATACCTTTGAAGAAAAAGTCGCAACACTTTGGATTAAAAAGAAAAAAGTTTTCAATATCAAATTTCATTTCAGGACAAAAATAAAGCCAAGTTAATACAGCAAGTACAACTAAGTAGCCAAGTTAATACAGGAAGTACAACTAAGTAGCCAAGTTAATACAGCAAGTACAACTAAGTAGCCAAGTTAATACAGCAAGTACAACTAAGTAGCCAAGTTAATACAGCAAGTACAATTAAGTAGCCAAGTTAATACAGCAAGTACAACTAAGTAGCCAAGTTAATACAGCAAGTACAACTAAGTAGCCAAGTTAATACAGCAAGTACAACTAAGTAGCCAAGTTAATACAGCAAGTACAACTAAGTAGCCAAGTTAATACAGGAAGGACAACTAAGTAGCCAAGTTAATACAGCAAGTACAACTAAGTAGCCAAGTTAATACAGCAAGTACAACTAAGTAGCCAAGTTAATACAGCAAGTACAACTAAGTAGCCAAGTTAATACAGCAAGTACAACTAATACAGGAAGTAAAACTAGGTTGACAAATTATTACAGAAAGAACTACAAAGTTAATACAGGAAAAAACATATAGACAGCCTGGTTTATACAGGAAATACCACTTGGTTACAAAGTTCATATGAGAGATAGAACTAGACAAAAATGGTACACTATTAAACTTAGCCAATTATGAGTCAGAAATGAAATACCACATTCCTAAAATTATGATATCTATAGAGAGTGTTGTGCAGAACTTTGTTGTTATTGTGTTAGATTTTACATGTTTGTTGATATTCTGTAAACATGAAACAGATGATACCCGTCTGTTGTTTATTTGATCCATCTGTTATGGAAGGTTTTGGGGACAGTTCTATTTTTGTTACAATTTTATGTATAACATTCCAAAGCTTTTGTTATAATAATTTCTTATTTTTTTAAGCGTAAAAGTTTTATTTAGATGAATGTTCAGATACTGCTTCTTTGCATCAACATCATTTTTCATGAACAAAAAATCTTAACACTTAATGTTCCTTATATGATATATAGATATTTCTATAGTTTAACACCAATTTCTGCTGTCTCTCATCAATTGTCTCCCCTTGTCCCCTGCTTTCATCAATATATTTGGATTATGATTTAGTAGCAAGGAACAAAAGATTCAGCATCCTATCATTTTATCTTGTGTACATGTCAGTAATGCTAGCTTTTATCAAATCATGTCAATTTTCCTTGGAAACAAATCCAATCTTTACAAAATCTTGCCACAATATCACAAAGAATATCTCACCATCAAAGAGTTATACTGATGTAATAGAAATCTCCAAATATTTAAATAATACTCGAATATAGGTTAAAAAAAAACATCACCTTACTGTTCAAAAACCTTCATACATTTATAGAGGTTGTAGCTGAGTGATGTGAGGGATGATATGTTTGACAGAGGTTGTAGCTGAGTGATGTGAGGGATGATATGTTTGACAGAGGTTGTAGCTGAGTGATGTGAGGGATGATATGTTTGACAGGTTGTAGCTGAGTGATGTGAGGGATGATATGTTTGACAGGTTGTAGCTGAGTGATGTGAGGGATGATATGTTTGACAGAGGTTGTAGCTGAGTGATGTGAGGGATGATATGTTTGACAGGTTGTAGCTGAGTGATGTGAGGGATGATATGTTTGACAGAGGTTGTAGCTGAGTGATGTGAGGGATGATATGTTTGACAGAGGTTGTAGCTGAGTGATGTGAGGGATGATATGTTTGACAGAGGTTGTAGCTGAGTGATGTGAGGGATGATATGTTTGACAGAGGTTGTAGCTGAGTGATATGAGGGATGATATGTTTGACAGAGGTTGTAGCTGAGTGATATGAGGGATCATATGTTTGACAGAGGTTGTAACTGAGTGATGTGAGGGATCATATGTTTGACAGAGGTTGTAGCTGAGTGATGTGAGGGATGATATGTTTGACAGAGGTTGTAGCTGAGTGATGTGAGGGATGATATGTTTGACAGAGGTTGTAGCTGAGTGATGTGAGGGATGATATGTTTGACAGAGGTTGTAGCTGAGTGATATGAGGGATGATATGTTTGACAGGTTGTAGTTGAGTGATGTGAGGGATGATATGTTTGACAGAGGTTGTAGCTGAGTGATGTGAGGGATGATATGTTTGACAGAGGTTGTAGCTGAGTGATGTGAGGGATGATATGTTTGACAGAGGTTGTAGCTGAGTGATGTGAGGGATGATATGTTTGACAGGTTGTAGCTGAGTGATGTGAGGGATGATATGTTTGACAGGTTGTAGCTGAGTGATGTGAGGGATGATATGTTTGACAGGTTGTAGCTGAGTGATGTGAGGGATGATATGTTTGACAGGTTGTAGCTGAGTGATGTGAGGGATGATATGTTTGACAGGTTGTAGCTGAGTGATGTGAGGGATGATATGTTTGACAGAGGTTGTAGCTGAGTGATGTGAGGGATGATATGTTTGACAGAGGTTGTAGCTGAGTGATGTGAGGGATGATATGTTTGAAAGAGGTTGTGATAATGTGTGACTGGGACAGACAACTGAGGTTGTGATCATGTGTGGCTGGGACAGACATTTTGACTGAGGTTGTGATCATGTGTGACTGGGACAGACAACTGAGGTTGTGTCTGACTGGCTGGGACAGACACTGAGGTTGTGATCATGTGTGGCTGGGACAGACACTGAGGTTGTGTCTGACTGGCTGGGACAGACACTGAGGTTGTGATCATGTGTGTTATTTGGATTGACAGTGACTGGGGCTGACAGTTCAGACTGAGGTTGAAATTTGCTCTGGCTGACAGGTTGTAGATGAGTGTTACTGGGGTTATGTGGCTAGGGCAGACATTTTGACTGTTTGTGATCAGGTGTTGCTGGCGATGACAACTTCCACAGAGGTTGCAGATGAGTGTGACTGGGGCTGTCCTGTGACTGAGGATGAGAATGTCTGTTTATAAAAATTATATTTACCGTCTGAGCTGATGGCTGTTCAATAATGCTTATTGTATTTTTCACTTCATGGAGTTTAAATCTGTGTTATGTAGGATGCCACTGTTTCCTCTTTATCACCCTATATTATGTATTTTTCAGATAAATTGACAACACAGATAATTTGGGATATAACTTATCACTCATCACTGCCTAAATTAAACAACCAGACTGAATAGTGACTGGTTTATAGAACTCAACAGAATTATGTACAATATACAGATTCAATCATTTGTTAGCAGTTGTACAAATATGATATGAATTGAACCCCAAACATAATTTCACCATTTATTTTGATAAACCAAATAATCCTGTGCTAACCACCCCATCATTTGTACAGATACAAAGGTGTTTCAGAATTTACCTAGGAATCAGAATGCTGGACCAGGTGTGTTTATGTATATGTAGTGGTCTCCCTTGTAAAGGAACTCTTTTACTCCATACAGTTTTTATTTATTGCTACAATAAACATTGTATGCACACAAGTGACACAAAATGGCTTCAATTACACAGATGTTGTAGAGCACTGCAGTAGTAACAGAATAACACAGTGACAGTGGATATGTAAATATTTATGAAGTACACTTATTTATAGTAAATGTTTTGCAGTGCTTACCAAATACATCATCTTGCTACAATTAACTACATGTTGTAACTTGTAATCTGTTTTATTTCACAGTCATTTTCAATGCATGAATATTTTTCATTCATGGTGTCGATTGTGTTAACTAAATGTTGTCCTGTTATTGTTTAGTATGAGTAATAGCCCTGCATGTGAGTGACAGTTACAGCATTGAGTGATAAATTACTAACTTATTTGATATAAAAACATAAATTTCTTCAAAACATT